TCCTATATCACTTTTGTTGGGAAAAACTACCATTCACGTCTTCATTACTCCCAGTGGAATATGAAAGCTCCAAAGAACTTTATGTAGGTTCATGTTAAACACCAGCAAAGTTGTAGATGAGACCTGTCCCCAGCTCCTTACTCACTTAACTCACTGACCCAAAGGTCGTCCTTCCTCCATTGTTCCCTGACATAACTAACTGATGTGAAAGTAACTCTCGTAATTTAGGCCTCGACTGTCCCTTGCATCCTAAGTATTTCGTCAGCTCCCTGTGTCTAAACACCGGTGTGACTCTCAGCCTTCAAGGGATGCACAGTGTGAGGGGATGGTAGGTGGGTGCTCTATTTAAAACTGCTACCTTACTTAAAAGACAAACAGAAAACCTTGTAAATCCCAAACATGTTTTATAAAATAGTTTTTAATTATTATCCTCCAAACAGATGGTGAAACCAAGGTAATCAAATTATGCTTTCCACTTGAATAAAACCAATGATGGGGCTAAAAATTTCAATGGGAAAAATATGGGGGTGGTGGGGGTGGGGAGAGAGGGAGGGAGAGAGAGAAAGAGAAAGAGAGAGACAGAGAGAAAGACGGATTCAGCAAGGGGAACATAATTTTATAGACTTAACAAATAATAAGAGCAAAAGACATAAAAACGTCAGGTGTAATTTTGGACACAGCTATGATTTCGTGGCTGTTTGTGGTTATAGGGAGAGGTGGAACAAACAGGCTAGAAAGGAAGGCTGAGACTAGATCAGGCCAAGGCATCTGGACTCCATTGTGTGAGCGGTGAAGGACATCTTAGGATTGTGAGGGGAGGGGCAATGACCTGATCTGGTCAGTGTCTTTGGACATTAACTGCAACGCTACTCTCCCTAGTCCTGCTGTGCTTCCTACTCTAACAGAGTCTTCCAGACTCCAACAATTTTTTCCTTGCTCTGCCTTTAGGTTTTGTATCTCTTGTCACCTACTTAGAGACCTCCTTGTTTATTTCCAGTGACTGTGAGCCCCAAGACTTGACTGATTGTTCTTGCCCTGGGCTCACCTATCCATGGGCTAGTCATTCCACGTTAACCTCCACGCTCCCCTGCCAATCACAGTCCTGACAAGAGAGAAAGCTCTGCTGGGTTTTCTCTCTCTCTTTCAGTTTTGGATACTGGAATGGGAATGGTTTATTGTTTCTTTGGATAAGCATAACTCAAATCCATCATTAGTTGAAAAACTGTGTAACTTTTTAGATAATGTTTTATCAGCTGAAACTAAACTACTATGATTCCCAGCTTTTATGTTATCCTTTTTGAACAAATAAGTTAAAATAATTGATAATGAATCTGCCATCAAAGAAGCTAACTCTATAGTAAATCAAAGCCAGAAAGAGTTTAGACTTCTAATTCCTCAAATTTTCTTTTCACACTTTTTTTGAATCACCTCCTTGTGACACTGGTGAACATCTGTTCTCCCAATTATATTCAATTTATGACTGTGATAATATGGTGCAATGCGAATATTATTTCCAACTGTTCATAATTTTAACATGTGCTAATATGAAGCAAAACACGCTTTTAACAGTTGATGTGTGGTTATAGCTTATGTTCTTTCTCTCAAATGATTACATATTTTTCACACCATATTTTGCACGTCAGAAAGCCTGTACTTTAGAATAATAATCTTGGATAATGAATACTCTATCTGTCCTGCCTATCCAAAGCAATCTATTATAGCATGCATTTCCAAACGTAACCTCCAATATGTAAACCAGATGAAAGTAGAACTGTTCTGGCTGAACAGGGCTGCTAGTGAGGCCCACAGCCCCTCCTGCCCTTCATAGAACTTTTGGGCTACTCAGAACACAGATGGAGAGTCACTGACCTAAAAGGTGGCATTTCTATTTCTTTGTATACCTCTGCGGCACCACACGTAATAACCTCGTAAGTTGTCAATGAATCCTGTAAGACGTCGAGTTGCCCTTTCACCCCCTTTAGAAACCAGAGCTTCCTTTGGCCCTGTGGTGGCCCTCTGAGCTAATGCCTCTAGATGGCACTGTTCTCATTAGGTAGCAAAGAACCCAGGCACTAATTACTAAATTATTAACTCAATAGTACAAAAGTAGCCTAAGCAATAAGCACACTCAAAATAAAGTAGCCTAAGCAATAGGCATCTTCGAAATAAAGTTATAAACAACATGATGTCAATTTAAAATCAGAATTACAGACATTTCCCAGAAATTCAGACACACAATAGATACTTCCTACTGGTTTTCCTCACTGGTGTTTACTGGTGAAGATGTATGGCTCTGGTTCTGAAAATGTGGTCCTAGGACCAGCAGCGTCTACATCACTGGTTAGAAATGCAAATTCACAGGTCCTACTTTTTACGCTGGCCGAACTGACCACTCAGGGGGTCGTGCCCAGTAACCTGTGTTTTAATAAATCACCCCCAGGGGATTCTGACGCATGCCCAAGTCTGAAGACCCCTGATCTAGGGTTATCCTTCGAGAGTCTATCTTCCACTTTCACAATTGCTATATGTGTTCTGTTCAAATGTTTGTTTTACTGAACCTAAAATTTTCTTTGGGCATATATGAAGAAGTAACTTAAAACAATAAAAATGTATCTTTTAAAATATTTCACAGCAGAGCAAGTATTTGCTATATGCATTTTATTCACTTTCAGTCACATTTTAATATAATGGTTGTTGAAATAGATGTTTTTAATCAATGCAATAAAATCTGAATATTCAGCTTCATGTCATTACTGCTCTTAAAATCATTCACTGCTAGGTAATCAATAGTTACTTACTTTTCAAAGTATATCCTAGTCTTTAAGTGTGAAAGGCTCTCAAGTAAATTGCATTCATAGAGAGCTACACACACACCACACACACGCATATCATGTAAACAGAGAGAAAAATTTATGCAAGCATTTGCAATGAGTTGCGTTGTTTCTAGTACACTTCATTTACCCTGTTCCACTTATGAGTCATAGCAGGAAAGGGGTCAAAAAATAGGGTATAACCTGCGACTGTGGAAAGGCTAATTTGAGAATGAGCTCATAGAGGAACTAAATCTGAAAAACTTGGTCTCATTAGCATTTTGCACTAGCCAACTGGGATGACCTACCAACAGCACTAGAGCACTCACTGAACTGAATATTAAAAGTGCTGGCTTCTTGTCTAGGTTCTGCCATTCACAAGCAGAGGGTCATTTAGCCCTACTGGGCCTTACTTTTTCCTTCCTTGAAATATAAGGGTTCACAGTGGGATTTGATATAGACATTTTTAGGTCTAAGATTCCATAACTCTTTTTTCTTTCTTTAATTTTTTTTTTTTTCAATAGTGGAATCTTTCCAATACATACAAAAGTACAAAGAACAGCATAAAAAGCCCCCATGTACCCATTATCCACTTTCTACAATTATTTTTTCTTTTTCTCCAGTTTTATTGAAGTATGATTGACAAATAAAAATTGTATATATTTAGGTTTTAAAATGTGATTGTTTTTAAAAGTGTTCAATGTGATGACTTAACAAACACACACACTCTAAAACGATTACCATAATCAAGTTGATTAACACATCCATCACCTCACAAATTTAGCATAGCTGCAGATGTTCATAAGTGTGGAAAGAAATTCTACTTAGAACAGAAACTTTTCCTCTCCTATTCAATAAGATCAAGCTTCAAGGAACCAGCTTCTAAAAACTGTCAGGTAATACTTCTGAGAATGGACCAAAAGCAGGTACAGAAGAACAAATATTTAGTAAATATGTTTTAAGAGGTAACTTGTATGTTTTATAAAGTTGCTCATGTGCAAACATTGCGTGTGTATGCCGCCCTACGCTGTGATCGGATGTGTAATGCCAGCGCGCGTTCCCACTCATGACTGTTCCGGACTGATTGTTTGTGTTCCTTAAAATTCTTATGTTGAAGCCCTAGCCCCGATGTCACAGTATTCGGAGATGGGGCCTTTGGGAGATAATTAAGGTGGAGGAGGTCATGAAGATGGGGCCGTCATGATGGGATTCGTGCCCTTATAAGCAGAGACACCAGGGACCTGGCTGGATTTCTCTGCGTCATGTGAGGCACAAAGAGAAGGTGGCCATCTGCAGGCCAGGAGGTGGGTTCTCACCAGAACCTAACCACACTGAAACTCTGATCTTGGACTCACAGCTTCCAGACTGTGAGAAACATGTTCCTGTTATTTAAGGTATCTGTTCTATGGTTTTTGTTATGGTGGTCTGAGCTAATATAATGATAAAAAGTAAAATGTAAATTAAATTATTTTTAAGTTCTAGTATTTGTTTTTAATTAACATTTTCTTTTTTAGAATGGTTGTATATGTACAGAAGATTTGAACAGATTAGCAGAATTCCTGTATCACCTGCCTCTTTCTCCCTCCCTACCCACACATAGTTTCCCTCATCATCAGATGCTCTGCACCCACCTCCACCTCTCAAACCCAAATTCTACTCAACTGTCCTAACTTATCTACTCCACAGTCTTTTGAAACCCATACTGTGTTCTTGTCTTTGTTTACTCTTTAAGAACCCATATGATCAGCCAGCCTGTTTATCACTTAATCATTCTCTAAACACGAGAGTGAGAACTTCTTTTAAGTAAGAACCATGGCTAAGGACCACGGCTTAGAATACTTTTCCTCTACCGCTCCTCTTAGTACAACCTTGGAAATGTAGTACATGATCAATAAATATAGTTTATTACCAGTTGGTAAATAGAGAAGGCAAGTCCTAAGCAAATTGTTTGATCTGCCCCAATTTTTACAGAAAGTTATCTGCAGAAGAATGAAAATGACTCTTAAAATCCTAAAATGACCAAAATGTGGCATGATGGGCTCAATGTCACAAGCAGAGGTTTCCACTGGTGTCACTCTTAACCTTAGCAGGCTTTCCAGGGACATGGACACTCACTCACTGTAAAGGAAAGCAGATGCTGATAAGACATACCATCCGAGGTTGTAAGAATCTTCTTGTCTTGGGGAGCCAAAACATGCCCAGCATGACTGATAACCCACACTGGAAAGCGTCTGTTTACTGAAGAGTACAAAGCCTTTGCAAATGGTACATAAAAGGCAGGCAAACCTGGGTTACCTAAGAAAAGAAACAAAGACCTTAGGTTAATCAAAGCAATAAACTCACATAAGGTGATGTGCAGACTGGAAAGTATTTATTTCTCCTCAACAAATCTAGTAACATTTACACATACACCTCAATTTTAATATCCTTTACACCTTAAGTCTGGTAGTGAACAGGAAAATTCTGCTCCTGCTTTGTTCTCCAATTGCTTCAAATAAATTCTTCCTCCTCATTCCTCAACTTAATAAATAAAACCAGCAATCATAAACCAAATACTCAAGTCCTAACACCAGGAGTCATTCTCAGTTTCTCTCCATTTTTCACATCCAGTCCACCAACAAGTCCTGTCAGCTTTGCACTCAAAATACATCTCAACTCTGTCCACTTCTATTAAGTGTTTCCTTGTCATTTATCTCAAGTATTTATATTGTAAACAGATGTATAGTTTGATCTTTTGGGGAAAAAACCACCAAGTAATACAAGTGGATTTTTCTTGCGTATATACAGAGGTATTTTTGACACGGGTTTGCTATAAACAAACAGAACGAATAAATGAACTTTTTAAAAAAGAGTCAATCTGCTATATCTTTAGGGGGAAAAGACAGTGAAATGGGGTTTTCATTTGAGATCATCATTTGTATAATGTTTTCATAGACACTAGTCCGTTTCCACCAATATCTATTTCTCTAATCAATTTATTTGTTTCTTCATACTATTAGGTTTCTCCTCTTTGCAGTTACATGACATGATTTTCCTACTCTGATGTAACCTCTGCCATCCTTGTCGAATTTCACCGATTTCTTGTTTTTTTCTTTGAAGATTAAGAAAAGTAAGATTTATTGAAGTACATTTCAAGAGAGAAACAGCTACACCAGAGAAGAATGTCTCACCGATTTCTTCATCGTCCACATCTTTTAGTTATGCAGCAAAGGGGATTAGGGCATAGACTCTGGAGTCGGACTGCCTAGGGTGAAATTCTGGCTGTGTCCCTAACTAAGTGTGTGACCTTTGGCAAGTTACGTAACCTCTCCGGGCCTTGGTTTCCTTGTCCAAAATATGAGGATAATAATCACACTACTTCATGTGAGAATTAAGTGCATAAAGTGCTTAAACACTGTCTGGTACATAAGTGCTGTATAAATGTTAGCTATTCAAACTTGTGATCACTGTCTAGCCATGATGATAATAATATATGATGGCCTTATCATCCATATTTTTATTTTGTTTCTGTTGCATTCTGACCTAGTGACCCTAGTTCCAAATTTCTTTTTGTGATGGTGCTGGTGTCATCTTTGTTAAATAGGGTGAAAACTTCCTCCAGTGCAATAATATGCTCTTTGCTCAGCTGAATGACCACCATGCAGCTAGAGGAGAAAGAAGGCCGGAGGGCTGTATCAGTACAGAGGCTGTCCCATCTATGGTGAATACAGATGACAATGTTTCATGTTTTATATTTAAATCTTCAGTAAGTGTGGAATGTTTTTGAGTATAAGGTACAAAGCAGCAAACTGATTTCTTTCCAAGTGATTAGCCAACTGTCCCGCATCCATTTATTATATAATCCATTCTTTTTGCATTAACTTGAAATGTCTTCTGATTCAACACTGAATTCTTGCATTAGCTCACGAATTCTGATTTTTTCTCCTTCTCCTCTGCCAGCACCATACCGTCTTGACTACTATATTGTGTTTTAACTGGTAGGGCAAATACTTTCTCCTTATTTTTTTTCCCTAAATTTTCTAGGCAAGTCTCATTACCTTTAGAATTATTTTCACTGGTTTCAATTTTTAAAAATCTATTTGGAATTCAGAGGGAAATTTCATCTCATTTATACATTAATTTAAAAAGATTCGATATTTTTTACATTACTGAGCATTACTTTCTTCGAATGTATTATGCTTCAAATTCAAATGTTTTGTCTCTCAGCAAACTTCCATAGTTTTCTTCATATAGCTAGAAAACAGTAACAGTCAACATTTTAAGTGCTATAACTTATTACACGCCAGGCAGCATGTATGTGCTTTACATATATTAACTCATTTTGTCCTCACATGAGGTAGTACTATTATTTCCATTTTACGGATGAAGAAACTGAAATATAGAGAGGTTAAGTAATTTGCCCAAGGTGATACAGATGATAAGTGCTCAATAAATAGTGGATGACTGAAAGAATATACAAAAGAAAATAATGATACTAATTTAAAAAAGAACATGAATTACCTGGTCTAAGATCTTCTGTATACCCAGTTTTAGCTAATCTTAAAACAGCTCCATAAAGCAGTTGGCATGATCATTAGGATAATGAATGGATGGCCACTTGTAGGTGTTGAATAAATGGCAGCTATCATTATTATATTTTTACTTTTTTATTGAATTTGACATGTAACATGCTGTAAGTTTAAGGTGTGCAACACACTAAAACTGGTCTAACATTGAGGAGAATCCAAAGATAACAACTATGTAATTGAGATGCAATAGTTACAATACAGGCTATATAAAACCAATGAGAACTAGATAATGGAACTGCTATAAGACAAAATTTTCTCTATACCTCTGGGTGTAAGTCTGAGTCCCCCCCTTAATGACTATAAGATCTTAAACAAACCACTTAAGCTTTCTGATTTACTACTTTGTCATCATCAAGTAAACGATAAAGCCAACTACTCTGTATTCATTCATTCTAGTCAGTACTTACAGCTACTGTTGCATATTCTTCTAGTTATCAATTATTTATTGACCACTTCTATATGCAAGTCACTGTGTTAGGCACAAAGCAGAAAATGATCTTTTTGCAATTTATATTCTAGTAGGAGAATATATATATGTAACTAAGTAAATAAGATAATTCAAGAATATGATAACTTCTATGAAGGAAATTAATAGTATCATGTGCTAGAGAAGGAAAGAGATTGGGGTGGCCTGAAAAAAATGTCTGTGGAGGTGGCATTTAGCTAAGACCCAAAAAGATGAGCAGAAATCAACTTCGTAAAGATTTGAGGGAAGAGCATACTAGGATGGGAGATGAAAAGGTATAAAGGCCCTCAACCAATAAAGAGCTTGGCTCCTGAAGAACAAGAAGTGTCCACAATAGGCAGTAACAGGAATTTCCAACTGGTAACAGAGACAGAAGTGGAAAACATAATGCAAAATGTTTAAATGTCATTGCATACTTCATCACTTAAATATTATGGCTTATGTTATACTTTATGAACCATGAACTAAACTTCCTGGCTAGGAAACCACAAAGAAAATTTAAAAGGGTCTTGTTTATACAACTAAAATCACATATATATGTATATAACTCCAGGTGTGGGAATGTTTGAAGACGTTCCAATACAGTATTGCGAGTAAAACATTTTATGAAAGGGTATCAAAATATGTTGTAAACACGTTTGAACATACGCATAGGAAAACACCCAAGAGATGTATCACAGAGGCTATGGTGATCATCTCTAGACCCCGATTACCAACAAACTCTTAACTACTCAACTTGCAACTGTACATGTGTGCCTTCCAATTAATCTTGTACGGGACAAAAACTTCCATATATCAAGGGAACGTGGCATAGCATACGGAAGGTGTCATGTGGACAGAACTTTGGGCTTGTCCATGGAGCCCTGTCTGCTCCATCTCTAATCACTGTACTCACAACACAAGACACATCACATGGCTCTATTATCCCCGTATGACCACCCGAGAATTATAGTGACTAAATATGTTCTATAGTGAGTTCTCAAATTGCCTCCCTTTGCTCATTTCACTACTTAAAGAATGTCCAAGGATATTGCTACTTCAAAATTCTACAACAAAGGCTCCCTGGGAAAAATGAAACTAATTAAAAGTTCCTCAATCTGTGGGTTCCAATAAATCACTCCTGATTGTTGCTATAATTTAAAAGTGATGAATTAATTTTGCTAGCTGCAAAAGCAAAGTGATTCAAAACAAAATGCTATGTCAGTCTATCAGCGATGGACTAAAGATGATGTCTACAGTGGTTTAACAATCCTTGAAACCCTGTCATCTTAATTTTTCCCACAGTATAAATAGACTAGGCCCTAAGAGAAAATACAATTCTGAATCTCAGAAATGAGCATGAACGCCAAGAAAAAGGGCCAAGGGCAGCAATGAAAATAGAAGAGCAAACATAAAGAACACTAGGACACTAAATGTGATCTGAAAGTGTCAAAGCATAAACAACAACTGTTTTAAGCTTCCCTTTCTGCAAACCTTAAACCTCACGGTGGCCCCTCTCCTCCTTTCAAGCCTCTGCAATAGAGACCTCACTATTCTCTAACACCTCGCACACCTCAGTGAGGGCAAGGACTTTTGTAACACAGTTTTCCTAGCAGCGCCGAGCAGAAATGAGTGAGTGAACACCTCTGATGGGAAGTAGAGTGAGCTGTCTGCTCCACTGAACTAGTTCATCTTCCTACCACCACCTCCTCAGCTCTAAGACCGAAGCCTTTTACTTCCATCTATCAACTTTTTGGTCATTCTTACACATTCCCTGAAAACCTTTACCCTTAAATGACAGTTTTGCTTGCCATTCCATGATTTAGGAGATTTCAAAATCTGGGTGAACTGACTGAGCCAACACTTTTGTCTCATAATTTGACTCATTCAGAAAGCCACACCCTAAATTGGTGGTATGCATATCACAATTCCCTTGGGCTTGTTAAACAGATTGCCCCACCCCCAGAGTTTCTGGTTCAGAAGGTCTGGGATGAGGTCCAAGGACTCACATTTCTAACAAGTTCTCAGATAACACTGCTGGTCCCGACACCAACTTTAAGAACCACAGGTCTAAGATCTTTTCATTACCCAGACATGGTTAACATCCAAAGCATCCTAACTCTCATAGCTCTTCTCCAGCTCAGTCTTCTGCCCTTTGAGTGGATTCTCACTCCCAATACACTTGCTATTTGATCACGGCGCTGCACAAAATCGATCTACTTGCTTTTTGGTTGATCATTCCTTTCATCCTGCATATCTGCTATTCTCATTGCTGACCACTTTCCTCAAGGCCCCAATCTACCCTCTGCCGTCCTTACTCTCAACAGATCACCTTAACTCTTAATTAACAGAGAAAACAGAGATCAAGAGGCAGAACTACTTCATTCCCTCTGACACGACTTCACTCTTCTCCATTTCAGATACCAGCCTCGCCTCCTTCATTCTAGCCTCAGAAAGATATCTCTTCCCCAGTCCAAGATAATGTTCCTACTTATTTTCTCAATCCTATACTCTGCTATGGCCTCCAAATCTCTCTCTGCTCCATCAAATAGCACTTGTCACGCCTCTAATTTCAAACTCTCCCTCACTACTGACAGAGCATATGTATTTTTAATTTCTGCAGATACCAACAGAGTGCTTTCCAAAAAGGCTGTTACAGTGTGGCCGAAGACTGGAAATTTATTTCCAGAAGAGGTTAAACCAAAGAGAGATTTGGGATCAGGAATCAGCCTAACTGAGAACAGAAGCACTGTACTAAGAAGGGGTTGGATTAAGCGTTACGAAATGCTAAGACTCTCAACCTCCCTTCCCTTGTTCAGCTCGAATATTAGCAGACAGCCTTCCACTACTCAGGATACTGGAAGATGCGTCCCTGGGAAAACTGAAAAGTCCAAGAAACAGCTACAGATACTGAAAGCTGAAAATACTCCAATGAAATGCTGGGTCCCTGCCCAACCACCCTAAGCTGGAATACCAAGGGTAACCAACCCTCCTGTTTTGCCCAGGATGATGGTGGTTTTAGTACCAAAAGTCACGTGTCCAGGATGGGGAGTCACCCTAGGCACAGCTGCAGATAAGCCCCACCTCTGAACACAAAACTTCTAATTAGTTTTTTGGGTCTTCCTCTTGAAAATGAAAGGGCAGTCAAGGATTACCAAATATTTGAAGAAAAACAAACACTAATGCAAACAAACAGAAAAAGGAAGAACACAGAAAAAACTCTAACAAATGTAAGAAGCCAGAGAAAATAAAAATATACCCATGAAACAGAAGACTATTAAACAGGAAAAGAAAGAACAGAACTCTTAGAATGAATTGACATACATGAGTTTCTGGTCCACTTAAATCCAAATACAATGCATGAAAAAACATCTATACCACGGTTTTTCACTGAAAAATTTCAGAATCTTAGAATAAAGAAAAATATAACTTTTTTTGGGGGGGTGGGGAGCTTTGCATACAAAAGATCAAAAATCAGAATGATATCGAGACTTCTCAGAAGCAGCTCTGAACCCTGGAAAACAATAGAAATGCCCTCCAAATTCGAAGGAAACATTATCTCCAACCTAGAAGTCTAAGACATTTTCTGGCACGCTAGATCTTGAAAAGATTATTTCCCATGAACCTCTTCTTAGGAAACTGCTAGAAGATGTTCTCCATGAAATATAAGGGAATAAACCAAAACAGAGGAAAATATGGGATCCAGGAAAGAGGGAATTCAACACAGAGAAGCGTGAAAGGAACACCCAGGACGGCCAGTGCAGCAGGCCTGAAGAGCAGTCAGTCCAGGCTGGGGGCAAAGAACAGAGTTCTGGGAGGGAGATCACCAAGAAAAAACCCAAAGCTGACTGATTACTCGGATGCACTGAGAGGATTTTTTTCTCTTCTAGAGAATAATTTTAAGATAAATTAGAGACTAAAATGGAAAACTAAACCAATAAGAGATAATCCTTAACCCGGAGAAAACAAACAAAAATATACAAGAAATGTAATCATAAAAGTCCACATAGGCTTAGCTACATAAAATATAATATAATGCTATGATACATACTGACAGTTTCATTTTTAATCTGTAAGACTGATGCATATATGTTCAATTCACTTATAATTTAAAAAGTTTTGAATACCTATAATTAAGCATCTACCCCAACATTCTATTCATAGTGACCCAGCAAAGGTCACAAATGACCCAGTTGTCAAATTCCAGAATAAACATTCTACAGTAAACTTAAAATCATCTTGAAATGAGACAAAAAAAGTAGAAAACTTTCAAAAAATATTTGATTAAACTTTTAATTATTCTAAAAATTATAAAATTTAAGAAAGCAGATTAAAAAAATTGTATGTAAGGTATATTCCCAATTGTCAGTAAAAAAATATATGTAATAAACATCATACATATAACAATGTATACATATAAATGCACTAAAAAAAAAAAAAACAAAAAGTCTAACCACCAAATTATTAAGGGTGGTTGTTATCGATGGTTCGAGTGATTTTATTTTCTTCCATAAGGTTTTTTGTATTTGGCAAATTTTCTTTAAAATTAGAAATAGTTATATAAGTATCTGTATAAAGTTTCCTCATCCAGATTTTTGAACTCACCAGGAATAATGAAAATGAGCAGCTTAGGTCTGCTGGCGCTCTGATCATTAAACAGGTCAGTCCAGGGCCCACACTTCAGAACGCAGGTTTCAGCTCCGCCACATAAAACGTATTCGTCATGCACGGGAATTTCCTCCTTGATTTCTGAGTCCATTTCTAAGTAAGGAGAGAAGAACAATAGCAAGAGTCACCAAAATGTAAAGCCTTGAGCTAAAGAAAATATTCAAGAATCAAAAAAGGCAAATTTCAACATAACTAGAAAGAATGCCACAAAGACATATGGGAGATACAAAATTATTCAGCTATTCTGGATTATAGGATTGCAACAAAACAAAACAAAACAACAAAACAAAACAAACCGTAAGAACGGGCTGGACAGGCAGATGGGTCTCTGGTGAAATAACAAACTACAGAGGAATGTGAATCAAAATGAGATTAGGTTTTTGTATAACTCTCCTCTCCAGTCTAAATTGACAATTAACCATGGATAACTTCCATTTGCCCTGTGCTGGAATTCTCTTAGAACTATGTGCTTTACCAGTGAGCCAGTGAGACAATCCCGTCTTCCCCTCCCCCCTGCCCCCCTTCATCAGGTAAAGATGGTGAAAATACAGGGGTTATGGCTTGCCCTTGCACTCTCCCAGACAGAACTGTAAAAAGGGTCAGTGAACTTGAAGATCTCAGGTTTTTCCTGTATTAATCCTCTCATCTCGAGTTGTGTAAGCATATTTTATATGTTATTAAAGCAGTGCATTATTAAATTATGAAATGAGTAGGTGGAAAACAACAGGATGAGATAGCATCATGAAAAATTTCCTGAATCAAGGTATGTGGAAAAATGCAGTCCCAAATGATTGGTATCAGTCCTCCATCTCTGCCTCCGCCTCCCCTACGTCTATGATCAGGACCATGTCTCAAACGTTCAGTGGTCTTTCTATCCTCCTCTTCAATTATCCTCCATTCATTCATAGCCCTCCAGAATCCAGTCCAAATACCTTTACAGCTTTCTCTCTTCCTATCACTTTACATCGACCTGGCACTCTAGTCTGCCCTGTCCTTGCACTTCCTCAGTGTCCTCATGCTTTTCTGCTCCTATAACTTTGCAAATCACTTATTCCTCACCCACTTCTTGAATGCATGCTGCACTTATGCCGGTTATCAATTTATTGCTTCAGCTGCAAATTCATTCTTCATTGCCTTTTCTGGAAAACTGGCTCTGCGCGTTTAAAATTTTTTTTCTCTGCCAGCTGACATGATGTTAAGCTTTGTCAGAAGAGTGCCCTGGAGACACTGCAGAGGAAGGGGTGTTCTTTCTGGGTTTCTGGAGTACTTCCTTTTTTCTCCACCTCTGCTGCTCAGGCTGTGAAGTCTTTCTAGTGCAGTGATTTCCAAGTGGAGATAATTTTGCCCCCAGAAAACAAGGCAATACCTGGAAATAGTTTTCACAGTCACAACTAGGGGACGGGGTACTACTGACATCTAGTGAGTAGAGGCCAGGATGCTGCTAAACATCCTAAGTGCACAGGACAGCCCCTCACAACAAACATTTAGCCCAAAAGGTTAATAGTGCCAGATTAAAAACAAACAACAAACAAAAACCCTGCTTTAGTGTTATGTGTCTATAGGGTACAGCTATCTTCAGCATTTGGCCAGCTGCTACATGCTTCCTTTCTCCAGCTCTCTACTCAGGCAGCAGCAGCAATGCAGCAAGAGTCCCAGAGAGTGTAGGCTTGTGCCCCAGACCAGGTGGCTGCAACCTTAACCCTCTCAGCACATATGTACTGGAAGCACTGCCAAGATGGTCTTCTAAAGAGCCAGCCACCTGACCTTGGTCCCATACAGCAGTCTGGAACTACTTGGCCCATTAGAGCTCTAGGTTGCTACAGAGGGAGGCCTCTCCAACTATCCACTGGAGCAGTACTCAAAGCAGTGTCCCAACTTCCTTGTATTCATCAGGTAAAGACAGTGAAAATACAGGGGTTATGGCTTGCCCTTGTACTCTCTCAGATAGAACTGTAAAAAGGGTCATGAGGGGTTATGCCTCAACTCACCTGTGCCCTAAGGGTTATTACTGTGGCCTTTCCAATATAGACGCCACATGCTCCAGGCCTCACATCTGCAGAAGTACCATGATTTACTCTGCACATCTTCTCATCAGTGTTAGTTCACCTGCTGACAAAATGCCTGGGACCAGCTTTGGCCCAGGTAGCCCATCAGACTTCTCTATCATCCCGTGGGCTGCAACCCTGCCTTCTGCAATGAGATCTAAACCCATGTTCCCAGGTTACTTTCTTTCAGCCCTGGGATACCTTTTAGAGTTCTCTTTATATAGTAACTTTATAGTTTCTCTCCTACCATAGCTTAATAATTATTTACATTCAACTAACTATTTAAGTTTACTGTGTGGTTTCTCTTTGTTAAATCTGGATTGATATATCCCCATGTGTCTATCTAAATACTTGTCTTCTAATCCTTTGCATCCTAGACTCACCTCAAATCCTACTTCCTACCTGAAGTCTTCTCTGAGCACCCCAAGTAAGGAAATTTCTTTCTCTAAATTCATAGCACCTATCTTTATCACAAGCTGGCAGCGGTAAAGGTAGCCAGGTAAGCTTTCCTTGTTTATTCATGCCATGCCACGCTCTCACAGCACGATAGTCAAGAATTCACTGTAAACATTACCTATCCCTCCCCTGACTGAACTTCAGCCTTAAGGTAAATGCAATGGTGGCTAGGGTGTAGATAAATGGAAGATTCTATATATGTTTGGTAATAATGAAAATGGCCTTTAGAAAGCAATCTGGCAGAATGAGATAATATCCATGAGGCATCAACTTTGATTTAGTAATTTTAAGGAATCAATTCTGAACAGGAAATATATGTATATTTTGAAAGAATAAATGCTACTTATAGAATGCTACTTATAATACTAAAAAACTGAAGACCCTAATGATCATTAATGGAAGAATGGTTAAGTAAATTATGATATATCAATACTTAGTCACTAAAAATGACATATATCACTCAACATTAAGAAAATTATTACATAAATTATAGTTCAATCTTATGATCAACTACTATGTTCCATCAAAACTGCTCAGTTCTGCTAAATTGGTTATAATCTATCTACGTGCTTTCTAACATTTCTAAAATCCACTTCTCTAGCCTGATGTTATGTTACGTCTTCTATTTTCTTTATTACTTTTACTGTCCTTTCAGTGGACTTAGGAAGAGAGAAGAATTAAGCATATATATTTCAATCTCTATGTGTAACCCGAAGTCCAAAACTGATTTTCTTAAGTAAAACTACTTAGAAAATGAAAAATTTTCATTTAGAAAGTGGGGACCCCTCTCCATTCAAAATATATTGATTGACTAAATAAATAAAAGTATCATCCCATGTTTTCTTATGGGTTGATTTTTAGTTCACTAAAAAATGTCACCATAGCCCAGTCTCTAAAACTGTCACAAAATACAGTATATTTATAAAGATCACATGTCATTTAAGTGTTAGAAACACTTAGCTGTTATACACAGTATTAAATTAAAAACTTAGCTGTTATACACCATATTAAATTAAAGAACTGATAGAGAGGATGCTGGTTAAACTTAATACTTGTACCAGAAGAGAATAAAAGTTATTAACAATATTCAATTCATAAATACTTAATTTCAAGAAAATATCTTGGGAGTTTGATTAGACAAAAAATTAATGAGAAATCAAGTAGGTATGAACTCAAGCACAGTGTATAAAAATTGAAAAATAAACAAAAAATAACTACAACTCTAAAACATCTCAATTAAATACAACTAAGAAACATGGAGTAAATGTATTTATAAAACAGCTTTTTATTCTACTTCATTCTGATGCTTCTGAATCCCACACAGCCAAATAAAAAAGCAAAAGAAAACTTAAAGTATGAGAATTCAAAAGATTCCTTACCTAAGAATCCAAGGTAATCCAGTCTACCACAAGTGTCAGATGAACATGGGACAATGTATCCTAATTACATATTATTAAAGGCTGATGGTCCTGCCTTCGGACACAGCCAAGACGCAATCTTTAAAGAAAACAGTTTTGATAAGCAGCAAGGCTTAGGCTGGATAAAAGCCAAGTGTGGATACAATTTATACAATTATGCAAGCCTTACTTACCTAAATATAGGTGTTCAGTTGCTTATATTAATGGGTTTCTAATTTTATTTAGTAAAATAATTTTTTTCCAATTAATTCTTATATAAACCTAGACAACATATAAAACATAAAAGCAGAATTTGATCAGTATAAATTTTAGAGGTTCAAATTTATAATATTTATTTATTATAAAGTCAGCCAATGAGAACAATGAAGCTGTACAAATGAACAAAAATATTTGAAAGTGAAGTTATAAATGAGTCTTATTCAGCTTTAGCATTCAAATAATGTCCGTATTTTATTTTGGCTTCTCAGTAAGAATTCTGCTGTATCCATTCAAATAACAGAAGTTTTTAAAAACTTGTGTTGCAATGTCCAGATAACCTTCACTTTAATTACATTACATTTGACAGAGTTGGTAAGATAGTTTTCTTTCAAAGTTAAAGCACTAACAATATCTAACTTGTATTATTTATCATATAAGGTGAATAAGAAGCTCCTTAAACTTCTTCAAATGATGAAAACTTTATACATAACATTATCAAATGTAAGTTGTGGGCTGTGCTATTGTTCCGAAATACACAGAGCAGAGCACACAGCATGCATGCGTCTGAGCCTTGACCAGTAATCAATTAGTGCTATTCCTGGGCTAGTACCAAACCTACTCGTAAAATATCTGGTGACCGGTCAAGTGAAAGTTAAATTTTTAAAGGCCCAGGGAACAGATACAAAATTTGTAATTGTTATCAAAATACAATATAAGTACAAACATATACAAAAATGGCAGTGGAAGCTTTATTTCAAGTTCTATTTTTTAAAATAAGCCTACTAGCAAACATTAACATGCTGGTGATCTCTGTATATTAAATGTTTGTTATATAACAGAGGAATAGCTATCCTAAAATCAGATTTAAAAACTAAACTTTAAAGCAAGAGGTATACAAGAAATAAAAAGGGACATTTCATAATGACAAGAAGTCAATCCACCAGAAGACTGTAAAAATTCTAAACGAGCATGCATCTAATATTTTAGCTTTTAAAGATACAAATTAAAAACTGACAGAAGTAAAAGGAGAAATAAATAAAACCACAATCATAGTGGAAGATTCTAACACACCTCTTAGTATCTGACAGGATAAGAAAGGAAAAAAGTCAATAAAAATCTAGAAAATCTGAATAACAAACTCAAAATCATCTCGTTTTAAAAATCAACCCTACAGGCTGACTTCTCTGTCGTCATTTGGAGCACCATTATTTTCCCAGTCACCAAAATCAAAAGCTTCTTTGACAGCTCCTGCTGCATTTTTGGGGAATATCCATAAGCAAGAAAAAGAAGTCAGCAAAAGAATGAAAAGAAACAATGAGAAGTGGGCATGAACTAAAATATGTAATGTCACGTAAGCTAGAGGGGAATGTTTTAAGAAGGGCTGGTAATGCAAGTTTTTAAATAGATAAATGTCAATGAGCAAAAGAACTGAGGCATTAGTAAAGATTCAACATTTTAAGCGTACTTTTTATAAGCGTACTTTTTATAAGCCAAATAGATTATAAATGTCATATCACTTAGTCCTGACAACAATCCTATGAGATGGGTACCATTATCTTCTCCCTCTATCTCTGTATACTGCCATTAACCCAGCAAAAAACATGCGAGGAGAAACTTGATTGAAAGGCATTAAGGAATTTGCGTAAGGTCACACAATTAACTAGTAAGTTGGACCGTGGTCAGGTCAGAATTGGAACCCAGATGTCTGAATGACAACAGAGCTCAATGTTCTTTGTTTTAAATTTTGCACTTATACACACACATATATAATTTCATTTAAATGAATAAATGAGATAAAATATATGCTGGAATTTTAAAAAATGGTATACTATTTTTTAAATCTTTTGCATACTTCATCTCTAAGTCTCTCCGCCTCCATGCATATCGCTTCTTAATTCATGTTATTAACTCGGTATCAAGTCGTCCATACTTTCCTATAATCACATACAAATGTATATAAGCATTTACATACATTTTAAAAAATGAGTTGTCAGTGTTTGATAAATAGGAACATATTATATACACTTCTGTGCATTTTGCATTTATACTTAGTAACGCATGAAAATCCTGCCAAGTCAAATAGTGTAACTCTAATTTTTAATGATTCTATAATGTGGATATATCATAATTCATATGGCCATCTTCCTGTTGAAAGGCATTCAATTATTTCCCAGTGTTTTGGAACGATGTTGCAATAAGTATTCTTAAATCCCCATGTTCTTACATATTATCCATATACACCAGTTTTTTTTGTTTCTAATGTCTAGCTTCCCAAGTGTGGAATTATTGGGTTGAATTTTCATAGCTATTGCCAGATTGCATTCCAAAAAGAGTGTAAGAATTTCTCTAGCAATCTAGGAAGGTATCTTTTCCCCTACAATCCTATCATCAAAAGTGGTACCTTTATTTTTAATTCTTGTAGTGCTCAGGTATAAACACCTTCACTTGTTAATTTGCATTTCTTTGACTAGTAGTGTATCTGAACATCTTTTCATGTTTGCTGGTCTTCTGGACTTTCTTTCCTGTGAATTGTCTACTCATATCCTTTGTCTGGATTCCATGTGGACTATTTATCTTTTTCTTATTGGTTTGTAAGAGAACTTCATATACCGCTATTAACCCTTTTCTGGGCTCCTATACTTTACATATAGCTTCCTAGATGTTTATTTTAATTTTTATTATTCTACATTTTACATTTACACCTTTATTCCATGTAGATAAGGACCCAACTTTGTCTTCTTTCAGGTAGAGAGCTACTTGTGCTAAAACCATTTAATTAAAATAACCATCTTTGCCCACTGAATTAAAAAAAAATCTGTTTCATATATTAAATTTTCATACTTATTGGGAAAGAGCTTCTTAACCACAGCCATACTGTCAGCGAATTTGGCAACTGGGTCCATGGTTAATTATTAATTATTTGGAATGGGCAGAAATCAAATCGCTGAGTCAATATTACCTAAACTCAAGTATGGCCACTGAAAATTACCTGTTCTACTTAAAAGCATCAGTGCTATTCGAGTGAAAAAGGGGGAAAGTAGTGAGCTTTCTGAATCTGGATGCCACAAAACTACTTTACGAGTTTTAATGAGCAAATATAAATTTTTAATTTCATCTCTGATTCCTGGTTTCTTTTTTTCTAGAGTTTCAAAATTCCCATTCCACCTGCCCATGAGATACTACTATTTGCCACTTACCAAAGCCTAAATTACCTTCTTCATTTCCTCCCCCATTTCCTTTTTATTAGAGTTTCTAACAAGGAACTGCCTGAAGCAAGGAGAGAAAATTTACATCTGTCCATAGTGCTTCTGCTAATTACAAAGAGAATTTTACAGAGGTTTAAAATCTTGAGTAAATGATTAGTTTATATGCACACCTAATCTAGAGCTATCACTAATTTTGCCCAGATATTACATGGGTATTCAAAGTAGCTCTCCTTGAAGGATAAAATGCTTTCCAAAAGTAAGAACCAAATGTAGTTACAGGATTGAAAAATACAATTAATTAAAAAAAAAAAATAACTTGCTGATGCACTTAATAGTAGAGTTAAATTGACAGAACAGGATCGGTGAACTTGAAGATAGATCAACAGAATTTATTCAATCTGAACAAGAGGAAAACAAACTTTAAAAAAAAGAGAGAATCTTAGGGACTTGTAGGAAGGTAACAAATGATTTAACATTCTTATGATGAGAGTCCCAGAGGAACAGAGAAGAGTGTGAAGCTGAAAAATATTAAAAAAATAATAATAATAATAATGAATGAAAACTCAAATTTGGCAAAAGACATAAACCTACAGAATTGAGAAGCTGAGTTAGTCCCAAAAGGAAAACCCAAAGAAGTACAAAACACGTCATAGTCAAACATCTGAAAACTAATAACAAAGAAAAACATCTTGAAAGCAGCCAGAGGGAAATGACATATTACCTATAGAGAAACAATAATTCAAATGTCAGCAGATTTCTCATCAGAAATCATGGAAGCCAGAAAGAAGTGGCACATTTTTCAAGTGCTGAAGGAATAGAACTGTCAGCCTTGAATTTCACATCAGAAAGAACTATCCTTCAGACATGAAGGGGAAGCAAAGTTCTCCCAGAGGCAGTTCTCTGAACAGAAATTTAGTAAGTAAATAGGTTAAACTTCAGTAAAGGAGGAACAATGGAATGGATAATAGTAGTGGTAAATATGTAATAGACTACCCTTCTCCTCGTGAGTTTCTTAACTTATATTTGATGGTCGAAGCAAAAGTTACGGCATCACTTCATGTGGTACTCAATGTATGTAGAAGAAATATGACAATTATATTTAAAAAGTGGAGAATGTAAAAGGACGTAATATAAGTAAATTTTCTAGATTTCAGAGAGTAAAATGTCAATGTAAGTAGGCTAAATGGTAAGTAATGTATGTACACTGTTTTACATATGGCAACCACTAAAAAAAGTAAACTGAACGATATACTCAAAAAGACTATAAATATACTAAATGGGTTTCTGAAAAATATTCAAGTAACCTGTGAGAGGGCAAGGGAAGAACAGAAAAGTGAAAAACTGAGGAAACAAACAGAAAACAATACAATGGCTGACTTAAGCCCTAATATTTGAACAATTACTTTAAATATGGTCTAAATATACCAGTTAAAAGGAGAGACTGATAGAGTGGATTTAAAAAGAAACATAACCCAACTACATGCTGCCTACAAGAATGTCGCTTCAGAACAATAGTGGTAGGTTTAAGATAAAAGAATGGAAAAAGTATAACACGCTAATAGTACTTTTTTTTTTTTAAAAGAAAGATTGGCTATATTACTATCAGATACAATAGACTTTAGAGCAAAAATAATTACTGTACAAAGAGTACACTTCATAATGATAAAAGGATTAACCCACCAAGAAGACATTCTAAAGGTACATGTACCAAACAGAGACTCAAAATACATGAAACAAAAACCACTGGGCTGAAAGGAGAAACAGAAAAATCCACAGTTATAGTTGGAGACTCGCAGCAATGAAAAGAAATACTAGACAAACTATCAACAGCATAAGGAAGAACTGAAGAACACCATCAACCAACACGATGTAACTGATATGTACGGAACACTCCTGTCGACAGCAGCAGAATACACAGTCTTTCCAAGTACTCTTGGAACATTCACCAAGATATACCATATTCTGGGTTATGAAACAAATGTAAATTTAAAAGAATTAAAATCATATAGCTAATGTCTTCTGACCATTATGGAAAAAGTAGCAATCAATATTATAAAAACAACAGGTAAAAATCTCCAAATGCATGGAAACTAAAGTACACACTTCTAAGTAATCCATGGACAAAAGAGGAAGTTTCAGAGGGAATTTTAAGAATACACAGAACTCAACAAAAATGAAAATATCAAAATATCAAAACTTGTGAGATGCAACACAAACAGTGCTGAAAGAGAAATTTATATGCTTACATTAGAAATGAGAGGTCTCAAATCAATAATCAAGAAACTAGAAAGAGAAGAGCAAAACAAACTTAAAGCAGGCAGAAGGAAGAAAATGATAAATATCAGAGCAAAATTCAATAAAATTAAAAATAGAGAAAAATCAATTAAAGCTTTCTTTGAAAAAGATTAATAAAATCAATAACCCTCCATTGAAAAAGACAAAAAAAAGATAAGACATAATGACTAATATTAGGAATGAAATAGCAGTTATCACTAAAGACTGTAGAAAATATTATCCTAATACCAAAACCAAAGACAGTACAAAAAAGAAAACTACACATCAATACCTCTCAAATCCACACTTTAACAAAATATCAGCGAACAGAATCTAGCAATGTACTAAAAAGAATTATATACCACAATCAAGTGGGATCTCGTCCAAATATGTTCAACATTTGAAAATCAATCAATGTAATCCACCATATCAAGATACTATAAGAAAAATCATATAATCATATATGGCAATTCTATCATCTTCTGACTCCTACTCTAGTATTTTCCAGTCATAGACTACTCTGAACTATTATACGATACTATAGAATCTAAAAAATTAATAGCATAATATTGTAGAGTACGATGCACTTTACACTAAGATTCTGTGAAAGTCTCTTGCTCCTGCTTGATAGTGGTCATGAGACTAGTAATTTTGCAACTTTCATATTTTGTCTAACTTTGCCCTTTTTAATGACAACATAGTAACTACCAGAGAGATTCTTGTCAAACCTGTGCAATTGGGTCAGAAGAGTAAGTTTATATGTGAATATAAAATCCACCACCACTGATATTAGGAAATATTAAAAGTAAAGCACGTACTATATACTCATGATGAACCTATTGAATTATCTTTACCTTAAAAAAGGGAATATTTTTTCTTTTCATAACTCCTTTGCTGCTTCTAAGCATGCGAATCAAGGAATAAAGTGGTACAATTTGCATCCTGTCTTGTGTGTGTGGGGGGAAAAACCCCCAAGGGTGAGAGTTCAGTTAATGAAAAGCAGTGTGAATACTAAATGCCTACTGCAAAGAACATCAGGAAAGCTGTGAAGTGGGTGTGGGTGGATCATTTTATAATAGTCGACCTTTCAAAGCTTATTGTGTGTAAACCACTGTTTTAAATGCTAGATGAATTATCTCGGTTAATAAAAGAATCTTATCAAGTGGATACTAATGTATCCCCATATTACAGATGAGAAACACTGAGGCACAGACTACTTCAGGAAAATACCAAGACGCATGGCAAGTGGTAGAGGTAACAGAAAGCCTCAACAGTTTCCCCAAAATGCTGCACTCTAAATTCAGGGGAGCCAGAGCAGTTTTGATTCTGGCGCCATAGATAATTATTAAAGCAACTAATGCTGAACCTCTAACATGTAGTTAGGGGACTGTGAAGTTCAGAGATTGGCTCAAAAGTCCATTTTCAAGTGTACCGGTTGTAACAAATTTGGGAGAGGTGTGAGGGAGGGGGCGGATCCTTCTGAGAACCCTAAGTGCAAACCAAAGAGCGCTTAATGACTCCGCTGATGGACAAGTGGGGTAAGTTCAAGTGGGGAAAGGGAGACCCACCGAAGAAGGCTGACTTCCCAGGGCTAATTAGAGGCTTAATTGGTAAAAGAACTCAGCTCTTTGGAGTCACCGGCTCCGACGTTGGCCTCTCCCTGTCACTTCTTCCCAGCCATTGCCCCGGCCATCCTGTCCCCAACTCCCTCAGTCGGGACATCATAAGACGCCCCACAGGTGAGCTGCATTTAGTACAAATGGTACGTTCCTCCGCTCAGAGGAGCGATCGCTGAGCCAGCAGCCAAAGCGGGTACCGGCCAAAGTGGCTCCAGACCCGGGGTGGTCGCAGCACCGTTATTTACGCCCCGTCTGGCCATGGGCGGCACCGGCTCGGCGAGGATCCAGAGAGAGGAAGGGCTCCGGCTCCCGCGTGCCTGCTCGGCCATCCTTCCCCTTGTAAAGTAACCCCGAGCGCTGGAAGATCCTCACCTGTCCGCCAAGAAGAAACCGGGCTCTAACGTGACGGTTCTCGCACGGCTTCCCCCGGACCGGAAGTCCCGGACCCTCTGACGTCACAGGGCCGCGCCGCGCGCCGCTCCGGGAAGTCGACGCCTTTACGACGCGCGGCACGGAAGATGCTCGACCCAGGTTCGTGGAGTGTGGTCTGGATCCGGCTGTACCGCCGGGAGGGTGTAGCGGTGCAGGAACTTTCTCTATCCTTCAATTTGAATTTCACCCCCCTCTAATTTCAGTCATCTTTGATATACTTCCAGCTCCCTCCCTCCCCCTAGTCTCCATTTCTCCCCTTTTTGTTTTCTTTCTGCTAATTTTTCTCGTTCTCCTTTACTGTTTGTTATCTCTTCGCCACATACATAGGAAAGTTGATTTTCAATTGACTTTGTTTATCAGCATTAATATAGCCAGCCTCTGCTACTGGGAACTTTAGCAAAATGCTCACGAGGTCTCTTCTGGAGGTATTTTGAACTTACCACACCCAGACGACATGAAGACAAGGGTCACAATGTCTGGTGAACTGTTGCATGTTCACCCCTGACACAGATCAAGTGGTCGATATATATCTGTCCAAAAATGCACTCGTGAATATGACCAGGGAGAGAAGTAGACGAATAGACCAGCAAATTATCAGTGGATCTCTTTTACACATAGAACAGTAGCCTTACTGTTTTTGTATTTAACGTTCCAGTACTAGGCACCACCATTGAACCAGTTGTTAGAGGTACACTGTTCCTCTTGTTTATAACTTCTCCCCCTTTTCAGTGTTATTTCCTAAATATAATAAGTAGCGCGATGAGTTTAGAAAAACTACTTACTGTACTAAGAGATTTTCATTAAGTAACTCATTTTTAATCCTCACAGCAATCCAATGAGGTCAGAATTAATATGTGGCCACAGAATCTGGAAACAAACAAATAGACAAAATAAATGAGTGATTACATTACAGTGACAGTACATGATGTGTTCAAGATGTTGTCCCTCATTACTAATGCACAATTCAGTGTGTGTAAAAATTCCAATGACTGTGGTTCACTAATGCAGCAGTTTTTCCAATTCTTGTATATGCATTTATGATGGATTGTCTCAAGTGTTTTATGTCTCTGATTTCATTAAATAAGCTTGTGCCAGAAAAATTAACCAAGGAGGTTCAATCTTGGGGGTTCAGCCTAGCTGTAGCTCATAGTCTTTCATGAGGTTGTAGCCAAGCCTGTTGGTCAGGGCTGCAGACATCTCAAAGATCCACTGAGGCTGAAGAATCCACTGCTAAGCTCAATCACGTGATTGTTGGGCCAGCCACATTTCCTCACTTGCTGTTGGCCAGAGGCTGACCTATTTCAGGGGCATCAGGATTTATTATAAAAGCATTCAGGGGCTGACAACACATGTCACTGATCTAGCAATGTCCACACACATAGAAAATGTAATGCAGGGTTTTCTGATTATTTAACTTCATGACTAAGTGGCAAGGAATAATTTGTGGAAAGAAAGCTTCAAAATAGAAGTCGAGGCTTATATAGAACAGGCTAATTATGGAACTCTAAGGAATGTAAATGACCAGAGAGAGTTTTGTCAGATAATAGTAACAGTTAATATTTATCAGACATTTACTACGTGCCGAGTTTTGTGCTAAATGTTTTACGTAGGTGTAGAAGGCAAAAAGAAGCTTGAGGACTGTCAAAGATGATGGTCTCAGATAAATGGCCCCTTTTTTGCCCAATTCATATGGACTCATCTCTGAGTCCCAGGGAGAGAAGGATTATAGCAGGAAGCAGAAGTCACTTTCCCACAAAATCCATGAGAAGTTTTTGAATCCCAAGGCAGTGCTCCTCAGGAACCACTGGGACAGAATATGGTACCAAAGAAATCTGCCTCTTGTTGAGAAGAGAAGCCTCTGTGCAGTGTCCCATGGACATGAAATGATTTCAGGGGACTGTCAACCATGTGCAGCACGTATAGAGAGGAAGTTGCAGTGGAGATAGTGTCAGAGCCTTGTGCCATTTCATGAGAACATCATTGAAGAGGAAGAGAGGAAAGATGGTTGCATTTTTGATAAGGCCCGGATCAACTATGCAGGGACCCTTGAAGACAAGTCCTAGAAACTGCTACAATTATTAGGGACCATTTAGTGGAGGTAAGAGAGTAGTTGGGGACACTTTGCAGGAGAGATGGAGGGCCCACAATACCAATGAGAGTGAGACAGAGAAATAGGTAATGCTTAGATTTTCACGATAGAAAAAAATATTTCTGGTGGATGTTATGAGAATGTTAGAAAGACCTGCATATTAGTAAAATATGTTCCTGTCTTCTTTATTATTCCATTACATAGAAAGTTGAAACTCTTGGTTTAGACACCCTTTGAACTAGGATATGTAGATTGAAGATTATGTAAAAAGGAACAAGAGGAAGAAAAAGAAAAAAAAAGGCAAAGATATAAGAAAAAATTCTTTTAAGACTTTCAAGGTCATTCACCACATATAATGTAACTGCAACTTCAAATGTTTTTGTTTTAATACATGAATGTGATCCATTAGTCCTCTTCAGTAAAACCACACCATAAAGGAACTTTTAGTGGCATTGCAGGGTACATTGAGGATGAGAAAAATATGGGAGATGTTGTTCAACTATCTCTATAAATTAAAAACAAAATAGAGATTGGGACTAGCTACAGACGAATATTCCTTTAGAGTACGGTATGTTCCCATTTTATTGGGTTACTTAGAAAATAATTGCTCTTTTTAGCAAGGATTTTGTGGGCTAAGTATAGTGCTACAGTACTTTTACAAATCATTCCCTCTTATTTTTTTAATGGAGACTTTGTATTCTCCAATAAAATAAGAATGGAATTTTTCATAAAGTGTCTTTCCTTGTCATCTATGTATCCAACTCTTGTAGACTAAATAATGACCCTCCAAAGAGGTCCATGTCCTAATTTTTGGAAACCGCGAATATGCTACATTACATGACAAAAAAGACTTTGTGGATGTGCTAAGGATCTTGAGATGGGAAGGTTTTCCTGAATTATCCAGGTGGGCCCAATATAATCACATGAGTCTGTATAAGAGGGAAGCAGGAGGGCCAGAGTAAGAGACAATAATATGACCATGGAAGTAAAGGGAGAGAAAAAAATGATGATGGAAGCAATAGTCAGGGGTGGGGGGGAGAAAGAGAGAGAGGG